TTTGTGTGTGTGTGTGTCAATAAGCTATAATTTGTTCCTATTGAAGATTGGAAATCGACTGTTTATGCTGTTGTGCCGGCTTTGCTTACAAAAAAGATTTGTACACTAGTTTTATTATCATCCATCAAGTGGTGGCTATTGATTAAACGGTAATCATCGCAAAACTTACCGAAGGCCAAATAAAAGTGGTCTAATATTTTAACTGCCGATGTTTGTTGTCTAATTTGATAATAACCTTTCCTTTAGTAACGGACCCGGACGAAGATACGGTAAGATGTCGTTGGGCCGTAGGCTCTAGGGAGTGTGGATCGGTGTGTGGTGGGTTACCATTCGCTTTACTTGAAGAGGTAAGATTTAAATTCATACACAAATATAGGCCTATATTATGAAATTTGTTTCTTACAGCTGATAGACAAGAAATTCATAACTTACTATTTGTTAATATTTATGACAGATACAGTATACGTAGACAATATAAAAAAATATATCGATTGGACTGGAAAATAATATGGCATAGTGTAATAATTATGTATGTAAATTTGGTCAAATATGAATTGTGATTATCTGCTGATCTGTGTTCTTGCAAATGGTAAGATGAAATAGAGGTAAGATGAAATAGTGGAGGTTACTACTTCTCAGAGTTTAAACCATCCTGCCAAATTTGCTACTATTAATGAGCTTGTTAAGTGGATGACTGGTGTCTTTTGATATATAGGAATATCATTAAACTTGTTTTAGTAAATCATCTTTACATAGACAACTTTAAAATCTGTGATCTCGGTATATATCTAAGATTTTCCTGATGATTTTGTTAGCTTACTGAGACACATTACAGGCCTATACAGGTTTACTTGAATTTTATTTGTCAATTTACACTATAAATAACAAAAATATATTGAAAATATAATAAGAAAAAACACCAAAGTCCCTTGCACATAAAAAATTCTTGTCTCTCCTAGACATAATTTTTCATTGTCGTTATCGCTGTTGAACTTGTTGTATTTGGATATTGAATAAAGTAAGCTTACTGATTTATTGTCTCACTCCATTGTCTCAGTTGTATATAAGCGATTGATGATGTTTCATTTGTACAGTCACCTGAAGAGGTTCACTGTGTACTGAACGAAAGCTCGTGGTAATAAATATTTGTTAGTCTATAAAGTGCTGCCTGTCATTTTACTGTCTATTACTGATTTATAGAGTACGTGCACCATTCGATATGAAGCCAAGTATCAGTTAGGATGGCATGCTGTTGCTGTAATGATTGAGGATTTTGCTAGTCCATTGTCTGCTTCACCGTTGAGTAAAATACCTCTTCAATTCTTAGTAAACGTTTTCAGTAGTAACGGGCTCTGTAGTTCAGCACCAGAATTCGTTAACCCAACACCAAAAGACGGAGCATGTATTGGGGTTCCAGAAAACGACACTTACGTTCAAGCAATTGTTGTGAGAAGTGGAGGCGTTGGGGTCGGGTTCGTTTTTATTGTATATTATATTTTATGTATAGATGTGAAATATTCACATTATTTATTTGAAATATATTATGTACATACCCATGATAGGTAAATGTATTACTACAAGAGCATTATTCATCTTAACGTATCATGGATATATTTAACACAATACAATATAAAGACAAAAATACCCTGAATTAATGGTGTTACAAATTGCATCATATTATAGATCATTAACATGATTTAGAATTCGTACATTACCACAACAACACACTAGTCTAATATAAAAATAACACCATGTGTATCTTTTGAAATAAAATCTCAATAACCTATTTAATTACCAGTAATTATTTTTTACATCTAGGATATCTGCCATTGAAACCGTCTCACCCTTAGGATTTTCTAAAACTGGAGTGAGTCAAGTGGAAAATAATGATCAATTGTTTTATGTAAATGTAACGTGGACACCAACTAACCAACAACAAGGCGAGAACATTTTATGCTATATTGGAGAAAACACGGCCGGGTAAGACAATGTTACAACCAACAATGTACTTTAAATGATGATAATTTGTTTTACAAACACATCAATAGTGTTCCTTCTCTTTGCTGATGATAAACATTCCGTCTTTAATTGTTTCAGGCAATCAACTCCTCAATCTTGCATTAAATTGGTTGCTGGAGGTACGTTAAAATTATTCATTCACTTTTATTTCACAATCCATAGAGATTATACAAAAATCGTAATAATTGCTGGTCAAGTACTATCCCCCGCCGGACACCATCATCCCGGTATTTCTCGATGTTCTTATTAATATAAATTTGAAAAAAATCACCACAACAGTTTTGAAGCTCAATACCATGTGGCAGGGCTTAAATGATTTTATTATAAAACATGACATTTCATTTTAAATAATCTATTAAACCGAAACTGTATAGAAGAAGGAATGGTATGAATAAAGATGAATAACGAAATAATGAACATCAGAATAACAAAGTTAAAAAAGTTGCGTTTTTGAGAGAGGGCGTGTTCCATTTTATATGCAACGCCTTTTTGATTTTCTGTTGACTGGCTGTTGAAGCGAAACACAGTATACGAAAACACTTCTCGTTGCATGATGCTTGACGCCAAAATAGACTTTTAACATGTTTAAAGATGTTCGTTAGCTCTTGTCGCAAAGTATCGGCCGGTTTTCGCATATATACTAGGCATTACAGCCTGCACATGGGAATTTGTATTATACAACGTTCGAACGCTGACCATTCAGGACAGGATCTTTCACAGAAAATATATTTCTTATTTTAAATGATCAAAAATCTAATTTAATATTTAAATCATCACAAAACTGTTTCGTTAATGAATTAATCTTATGTGAAATAACTTTAGAAAATGGACCAGTGTACTGCAACTTAAAATAACGAATATAACAATAGTCATCAAGAAGGTTCAATCGTTTCTTTAAAATGCAATGTTATGTTTTTGTTCAAATAGCTATGGATCAATTCCTCTTTATTTACAATACAATGTATCGCAGTTGTTCACTCAATTTATAAAGAAGACTGCATGAGGAGAGCAATCGCTACACTGTAAATGGCAAATGTATTGTTGGAACATGTATGTTTATATAGATTTAAAAAAAAAAATAAGCTAGGCCTTGCATACATGGTATTGAGCTTCCAAACTGTTGCTGTGGTTTTAGGTGTATTTGCTGTTTGATGTTACACAGATAATATTACTATTATAATTATGATTACAGTACTATTATTATTATTATTATTATTATTATCATTAGTATTACTTTTGCAATGGTATATTTATGTTGTATATGTTATTTGTTATTTGATGTTGTATATCATTGTGAGTACCTTGTTTACCAGTCTGTGTGTTCACGACAAATATGTGTCTATCATATTTGCTTAAATTTATAGCTAAATTATCATACATGTATTGCTATTTCAGTTTCTCCACCTACTATAATCCCCGAGTCACTTGCACCTAATCCAGGAGCTGAAATTACCTCAAGTCAATCGGAATGGCGGCTCAAATTTGATAAAGAGGTAGTTCTAGATAGATATTTCTAACAAATTTCACGTCAAGTATCACATACAAACAAGAATCCATCTTGGGTGTATCTAAGACAACAATAAGTTTATAAAAATAAGAAGTGGTTAGTAAAGTTAATTATTAGATGACAGTTACAACAATTTATTTAACATCTTAATTGTAGGCTTATTTAATCCTATTAATGTTATTATTATTATCATCATTATTACTATCATTAATGTTGTTCTTATGAATTGTACTATTATTTTTTTAAGTAAGTAGATAAGGATTATATGTTTTGTGTATCGTATCCTGGGCACATAAGGATAACAGTTGGTTTCAACTGAGTTGTTAACCCAGTTTAAACAAGAAATAAATAAAACTATATAACTTTATACAATTGTCTCAGGGTATATATACTGAATTTCTATATCTATAAAATTGGCTATTTTATTGACGTGTCCTTTAACTATTTTTACTTTTACCCACATCTAACTTTATTTTTAGTCTGCTCCGTGGCGAAGACAAGCCAAACCAGTCACTCGTCGCAAATCCTGTTTAAGAGATAATGGCCAAAACATTCTGGAATGTCAAAATTTTTGAAATCTATTTTATGACACTAAATTAACCTCTCTCTCCCTCTCTCCCTCTCTCTCTCTCTCTCTCCCTCTCCCTCTCTCTTTCTCTCCCTCTCTCTCTCTCTCTCTCTCTCTATATATATATAA